TTGTCCTCAGAGACATTCATACTCTATATTTCATTTGCTAATACCAACATGAGGTTTGCTTGCTTATACAAACAGTCGGCCCTCCTCTGAGTGCTCACCAAAGAGACGCTTCAAACCCTTAGATTATCCAAGCACATCAGCACCAAGAGAAGCCATTTTGTGCCAGTGTTCCTCGGCTTAAGTGGAATAGACGACCCAGCTAGTGAGACTCGGCCTTGGGCCCAGCCCGTGGAACGTGTCACTACTCCATCTAACCATGACCACCTCTAAGGTGTCGCCTGTACTCTCGCAATTGAGGGTTGGCGCGCACAAAACTCATCAACATGTAAATTTCCCGGCCAAAATTCGAAATCTTCCACCAGTCGAAGTTGTTTCCTTCCTTAACATCATCTTGTAAACCTGTCTTGATCTTTCTCACGTCCATCCCAAAGAACTTCATCCTAAATTTGTGCGCCACGCTTTGTTTCCTTCATCAGGTGTAGATATCGGCGCGGGCGTGCGCGTTTATTTGGTGGCCAGCTGAGGGCGGAGAATAGTGGATGTGAGGCATAGTCATTTATATCACGATGTACTGAGTCGTACCTGTAAGCTTAATGAGGTGGTGGCGGGGATCGATCTCGTTGGGAGTGAGATATTGATTTGGTGGAGTATTTTGAATTATTACCTCGTGGGCCAAATTGTTCGGTGTTGCGAAATTTTAACTGAACTTGGCTCTGGGAGAATATTTCACTCCCAGGTTGATTAGAGACATCGTGGACAGGTGTTCAATCTCTGCCCTCCTCTTTATTACTTGGTATGCGTTGGTACTTAACTTAACGTGTGTTGTAAGTCTCGGCATGAATTTCAATGTATGCAATTATCATGTGTAGGTCTGAATTTAGACAATGAATTGGGCCGATAGCTTGGGAGATCAGGGATTAAGGGTTTCAAGCTATCTCTAAATTTTATGGATTTAAAGATAATGGGCTCCTGCAAAGAATAAATGAGGTCCTGAGGATGGTAACTTATCCCGGTAGAACTGACCAGTCACGGGTAAGGAGCGCATAAAGCCCTGATGTCTATTTTTTTTTTTTTTTGCATCAGATTTTAATTGCGTATGCAGCTATCTAGCTATGACACAATATCAAAGAAAAGTACAGAATAGATGATTCAACGTAAAGGAAGAGCACTCATGCCTCGGATTTCATTTGCAGGTACCACTGCGAAGTTATGGTGGCTTTTTCTTCACCCCAAGTCAACCCTCATCCGTGAATACCCACCCAGGGGAACATCTCAAAAACCCTAAGTTATCCAGACATGCCTCCGTCATCCATCAGTTTTTCTCCGCGCGAAATGTAATCTGAGATGTCTCCTTCCCAAGTGGAGTAGGTGCCCAGGCTACTCAAAATATACCAGAGAACATCACCAGGAGGCGGATCACAACACCTTCCATCGTCGGCTTGTTTTTATAGTGTCAGCTGCACTCTCGCAAGCGAAGTCTTGGCGCGCACAAAGCTCAATTCGTAAAACTCCTTGCCAAAATTCGGAATCTCACGCCCTTCGAGGTTATATCCTTCCTCCGCATCATCTTGTAAACTTGTCCTGATTCCTCTCACGTCCATCGCAAAGAGCTGTCTCCCAGATTTGTGCGCCACGCTTCGCTTCCTCCGTCGGGTATAAATATCGGCGTGGGCGTGTATTTGGTGACCAGCTGAGGCCAGAGAAGGTCGAAGAGTGGTGTGGTCATTGGAATGAGGATGTACTTGGTCGTACTTGTAGACTCGATGAGACGAAGATATGAGTCAAACTCGTTAGGAGCGAAATAACGACGTGGAGGAGTAATTTTGATTTTTGCCTCGTGGGCCAACTTCTTTGATATTGCGAAATTTGACTGAACTTGGCTCTGGGAGAATATTTCACTCCCAGGTTCGTAGAGGACACCGCGTACAGGTGTTCAGTCTTGCCCTCCCCTGATGTCTATTGTTTTGATCTGTTCCTAGGGATCACACCGTTCTTCTCTTGACTACCATCCGCGGATAACTTCAGTGAACGTTTTATAAAAATGACATGATCGAACCCGTGATATTCCCCCACGGCCACTCTTGAACAATCTTTCTCAAAAATTTTCTACTATTTCTATGTTTGCGAAGAGCTCCCTCTTCATCTTTGACCCACTGCACATTCTTAAATGTACTACCCTGCTTGATATTCGGTCCAGATGGTGAACTAGTAATTTTTTGACCCACTCAAGAGCAAGCATAAGCTGAAAGATGTTGATGTCGTGATATAAATGTAAACCATAATAACAGGGGTTGAACCTCGCTGACAGCCTGAAGCTCGTTATTCCACGAAGGAGCAGAATAAACGGGCCAGCAGGAGTGGGCCTAGCTAATGATGCATCTAGCCTTACCGTTTGTTTCGACAAGCTAGAGATAATGTATTCGTGCTGCTGCCTGGCGATCGTTGTTTGTTCGGGTCCGCCGGTCAATTATAAGGTTTGGCGCACATCGCCCCACGATTGCATGTTGATCGAGACCCAGCTCGGCGTTTAGTGGTCGTATTTCTGTAGGAGAGCGGTGACAGGATTTCGATCCCAAACATGCCAACTTCGCACCAGATAATAATGTTTACGACTTTAACCGCGGGACTTGCTCAATACCAAAGTAGAATAAGAGGAGTTGATGATGAGGATGGCGCCATTCTCCAACGGTTATATCATTATCTACAGTCAAATAGCCGACTATGGGGAGATTAGACACTCCGAGATAAGTGTGTCACAGTAACCTCAATTCCAGGTCGGTTTCTCAGGTAGAGTCTCTTTTGGCTCGGGCACTTGTCCAAATCCACCGGAGAATACTTAGCACGAATCGATTAATCCTCTCGCGGTCTTCATAACCGGTAATGCAGAAGCATGTCTTGACAATCAAAGAATTTCGAATCTCTTTTGGTGATTGTTGATTGATTAGAGTTGAAATTATTTCACACAAAAACTTTACTTACTGTGATTTTCATGGATTCGTTGTCTATTGTGAAATTCAAACTGATACTTGCAAGTAGAATTCGGCGCCTAGTTATTCTAATTACAAAGGGATCACTAAAGTTGCACGTAAGACATCAAAGGTCGTAATGTGTGGGAAAATCTTCAAAAATTATTTAAATTTTCAACAGGATTCGTGCTAGATAGTCTGTGACTCAAGTAGTACAATAAACACAACACATTAACAGAACTCATCCTCCTACCTTTGAATAGCCTTGTTACTTCCACGTGACATATGCGGGGATCGTCAACACAACCAAACACACGAAATCCTGTGAAACGAAATCTTTACAAACCTTGATTAACACACAACCAAATACTTAATATACAGGCCTTTCTGACAGCTGTGCACAAATAGAATGCAGCTGGTTTGTGAAACAGGATAAGTAGCAAACCCGTTCCGCATTAAAACCTGAATCTTTCCGTCGTACTAGTGGGAAACGCTCTTCGCGGGGCGAATAAGTCAAGATGGCTAGTGAGCAGCCAAACATAGACATGCGTAGAATGCTTGTTGGTGTGAGTTTAGTTCCATCTCCCTTTTAAAGACCTTGGTTGATAGACGGAATTTAGGCAGAGATACCGCGGTAAGACTTGCGCCGACAATGAGAGCTCTACTGAACCATAGTCATTCCTTGATCCGACGAGATTCTTCTAGAATTTTCTCACGATTGTAACGGAGGTGTGTTTAAATCAATGTGACTTCCAGCTATGATTCGTGGATTGTTCGAAAGAAAGTGTGTCTCTATCGCTCTATCTGATCAGAGTCTCGTAAACATAAAGTGTATCCTCAGTAATAACATTTGAAATTGAGGTATAGACGGGTGCGGGTTGTTGTTAAGACTGTCGTGATACCTAACAGAAATCTTACTGCTCAGCTTGAAATTTTAGCACGAGAACAATTGCCAAAGCCAGAGGCGGTTGCAATTTGCCACTGTTAGTTGTGAAAACGAGTATCACGTCGGACTTCTAGGACAATGCGGCTGCGGCCGCTGCCGCAGTTCTTTCCACTTGCATGGTACATAGATAAGCAAACACCCCACGGTAATACAGCAAGATTGCTGTAGTGATGTCGTGCATGGAGCTAGGCAGCAAGCCCACATCATTCATCCACTCAAATCCCGGGTGCTGACCCAAAATTGCTTGATAATGAGATCGAGCATCTCCCGTCAACCAATTAGCCAATGAGCACGTGAGTCTACTAGGGTAATGGACGGGTCACATGCGTCAATGACAAGACTTTCATCTCCGATCTGGCCGCTGGATCATCAATTTCCATCCACCATACGACTTAAGCTAGCCGCAATGTCGTACTTCCAGAAATTGGGTCCAGACAAAGGATCCTCTTCAAAGGTTCTCGAAACAATTCGCATCACGAAGTAAAGCCAATCATCCAACATCTAACTATGACGGACGTAAATAGAAAGTAGTAGCTGTCAAATGAGGTGCAAGATAACTCCGGTCTAGTTAAGACCTATCGTCATTATCACGACTCATAAACCTCATCGTTCTAGAAGGACCATATTATTAAGTGCTCGTACCTAATGAGATGTTGACTGGCCTCTCCTGAACCAGAAGAATGTTGAGTGGAGACTCTAAGAAAATCCTTCAGGCATTCCCATTTTTTTACTATCACTAGTCACTTGCACCATCATGACACATGACATAATGGAAGATATTTTATCTCAGCCCAAGAAAATTATGGAAGTACCATAACAAAGATACTAGACCTCTTGTGGCGCTAAAAATCACGACATAGGCCAAAAAGACGGGGCAAAGGAGCTCGTTAATGCTCGTAGGTTTTGGCAATCGAATTCGTCATTGATTCCGGAATCCATTCATTACTTGCATCCCGACTGTCGCACCATCTGCCCTTACATATGAAGAGGCTGAAATAAGTCGTTGCCACACATCTGAAGACAATCAAACCTTCTACAGTGTCCTTCGCTTCAAACTCTACGTTTTCATTTGGCTATTAAAGCGTAAGATGGTCTCTGTCAATGTATACACACTCCTTTACGCATTTGGCTTCTTAGCCACATGTACCGCTGGTATTTTAAAAGAAGATTCCAACCAGGATTCAACGGTCGATTATGATGTGGTAATAGTCGGAGGTGGTCCAGCTGGACTTAGTGCACTGAGCAGCTTAGGAAGAGTTCGACGAAGAGCGCTCTTGATTGATTCAGGGGAGTACCGAAACAACAACACAAGAGCTAATCACGACGTACTTGGAAGCGATGGTTCGTCAAATTCATCTATCTGAATAATTTATGTACTACAATATATTGACTTTTACTTCAGGCCTACCACCGTCACTATTTCGAGCTAGGGCACGCGATCAGATTTCTCGATATACCACTACCAGCTCACGAAACGGAACAGTTACATCTATATCATCCGCTCTCAATGGTTCTTTCGTCACCACACTAGATGACGGTCAAGAATATACAAGCCGCAAGATCGTCCTCGCTACTGGCATCATTGATATTGTCCCACAAATTCCTGGCTTTAGTGAAGCATGGGGACGTGGAATGTACTGGTGTGCATGGTGTGATAGCTGGGAGCACCGCGACCAAAGTCTCGGGGTGCTAGGGTCCATCGAAGATGCGGTTTTCTCTACATTCCAGGTCATGACTATGAATAAAGATATCGTCGCTTTCGTCAATGGCACTGATACACCAGCTAATAGAGCTCTATTAGACAAAAAGCTGCCCGGATGGCAACAGCAGATTACCAAAATAGGAGCGGTACTGGAGAACCGTACCATTGCTAGCATTGAACGTCTACAAGATGGAAATCTGGTTCGGAATATAACATTGTGGAAGGAGTACGACTCATTCCAGGTAACCCTAGAAGATAGTACAAAGATCCAACGCGATTCATTCATTGTGAGCTTGAAAAATAGACAACGCTCGTATCTCGGCGATAAAATCGGTGTGAAAATAAAAAACGAAAGAATGATGGTCCATCCGGCTAGTATGCTCGCAGCACCGGGTGTGTATGCAGTCGGTGACGCCAATAATGATAGCACTACAAACGTTCCACACGCCTTATTCACTGGTAAAAAAGCTGGTGTGTTCGCACATGGCAAGTAGTCCCACTCATTTTCTTACTTTGTTAACTAATCTTCTACCCAGTGGACCTCTGGAAAACCGATGTAAAAAATAATAATGTAAAGCGTTCAGAACACGATTTGATGGTAGAAGAAGATAATGAAGTTGAAACTTTGTGGAAAAGGATGTCCCAAGCGTATAAATGAAAGCATGTCATTTGAGGGTTTAACAGATAGCTGGCTATGAATTTTTGAAAATACCTCTGGGACTGGAAAACTCCAAATTATAAGGGGAGTGGATCTCTTCGCTCGCTACATGTCGACCCTTCATGACTGCATGCTGCCATAAATTGCATGTCATATTAGCCTCAAAGCTAGGGTACTGCTCCCCTCCGACATTTATCTTTACGGATAATTTCGTCTTCATGGCTGCAAACATGGCTTTCGTGGCAAAACATAATTTTATAGAATATCACCTTGGTTAATATTTTAGTCCAGGAAACAATATATAAACTCCTCTTAAATTAGAGAGCTATTGAAAGTTAAGTGTGCCCCGATAAAGCCTAATTTTTTACATCGGCCAGTCAGTCGTGTCTGAGTGACACCCAGCTTGTTACTATTAACAGACGCCAAATTTATGCCATTGGAGCCTCGTGTCACGTCTAAAAAGATGTTGGGCTCATATCACTTAAAAGATTTCAAATTCTAATACCATTCGTGTTAGAACAAACGATTTTAATGAAGTGTGGGAGGGCACTAACAGGGATAATTTTCGGGATTAAATAGAATATGCAGACGGTGAAGCAACCGTAGTACTTTGCAGAATGTCGACTAAGGCTATTGAAGTGAGAGAGAGGTATGTTTATTGTACTACTTGAGTCTATGACTATCTAGCACACTGGGCACCTCTGTGGCCCAGGCCACACCTTTTACAGTGCTCCTATCCTCTTTCGCTACTTGTAAGATCATTGATATATTGCCCGTGATGAATAGCCATTCAGCTCAGTGTTTATCCATGGAACCCTCTACCAGAAAAAAAAAGATAGCAATGGAAACTGCGTGCGCGGGAGAAAGTCTCAGAAACTCTGCTGCCCCAGCCAGGCGAGGCCTAGACACCGGGACCACATGAGGTGCGCATATTCATCTATATCTCCCTTCTTTGTAACAGTCGAGGCCGACTTGATCCAATCCACCATCTCCGTATCGGGTGCTGGGTACGCTCCGGAAACTCATCGGATGGCATTTCCTCCATGATCAAGGGTTTGTGATAGATAGGACTTCGACCTTACCATCTGATCTGGTCGTGGTTAGCTTCATGATAATGGTGATAGGGGAATGTGTTGAGAGATGAAGACGATACAGACCGCGAAAGCTAGTGGGAATCCTCGTCGAAGTGAGGACTCTGTTATTCAATCTCGGCACTGCAGACTCTACAGTGAGAAATGGAGGTTCTTAGGAGAAACTGATATGGTATGCCAAGGAATTTGTCAGGAGCTAGCTTAGTAAACCAGCCGAACCATGTACACAGATTGAGTGCAGGCGACACTATAAAAACTGCCATGGTTGGATGGTGCGATGGCACATCATCTTGGCCGGTCTGCCAAGTAGAGTCTGGATAGCTTGGACACATATCCCACTCGAGACAGTAGATCGCTGGTTCAAATCCAGCAAAACACAACCACATTTCTCGCGGCGCTGGTGTGCATGGATGACGAAGGCATGCTTGGATAATCAAAGGTTTTTAAATTCCCTTTGGTGGGTACTAACGGAGGAGGGTCGACTGTTTGTGTAAGCAAACATACCTCATAGTGGTATTTGCAAAAGAAATCCAGAGTATGAGTGTCTCTAACGTCAAAAGAGTCATTCCACATGTATACATAGCACCGGTCATGTGTCATAGATAGATAGCTGAATACACATTAAATGATTTTTTTAAAAAAAAAGACATGTACATAGATTATACAGTACACACCTCCGACTAGAGAATAGAATCCTAAGTCTGCACACATTAGTTCATTGCTCCCAACTCACACGATTGTTCTCCTCTCACATCGCTAGTCATCCATATTTGTTCATTACGATATCTTCCGCACGCTCAAAATCATAACAGAGACCTTTGACAGGTGTTGAGAATAGTCCCCCGAAGTGGATGAATTCCAGCCGTCATATTGGACCAACAGCTAGGTTGATGATGAGAGACAAAGGCTGGGGAAGTTTCTGGCAACATCTGACCATGACAAAGTGTTTGAGCCAGATGAAAAGTGTGTTGGGAGGAAGGAATTCCCGCCGAGGTAACTTCCACTGCGTCGTTGTACTCCAATTATTCTGGGTGTCTAGAGAAAGATAATAACAACGCAGGACACCGTTATTCACATCTCTTATTGTTATCATTCGTAAATTCGTTTCTACCGACCTGAGAGTGCGGGTCTTTATTCATTATTACTTAATACGTATCCAGCTCTCATGCTACAACACATGGTATATATCATGTGTATATTTTGGACGTCTCTATTGACGTCCGACACCCATAGTCTGTACTTCAATCGCAAATACCACCATAAAGTGTTAGAAATTGTCAAGGATTTCTAGGAGGAAATATCTCGGAGAACAAGTGTACAATTTCAGACAAGAATTTATTGATAGTTGTATAGGATATCGAGCTCTTTTCTCAACATGAATTAATCATATATGACATTCCGTTAACTTAGTTTAACATATACAAATAAGCCAATCCTTAAAAACAGATTCCCGAGGCTTTAGTGATCCCGAACTCTCAGTGATCTAGCTACAACCAGCCACTCAATTACCGCATGGTATCATTTCCTAGCCACTGCATTTCAGATACTATTGAACCTCGTTTCCTCTAGCTGAGCTTAATCTTATGCAATAGAAACAAGTAAATTGATCTTGATGATCATACTTAGAAATCTAAACCTCCATATAAATTAAGTCTAGATTTCCAATATAAGGTATAACTGCTTGAGCAAAAAAGTCGAAACTCGTCGGCGCGTAATCGCCAAAGGTATTACGGTGTGCGCTAAGGATACTGGGGATCGCCGTTTGCCGAAGGTAAGGTACTATAGTTGCTAACGAAGGATACTTACATATAATTCGATTGGCGAGGTTCCAGGTGGTTAAAGATGATAGAACTACAGGATAGTCGAAAGACACGAAGTCAGGAAGTCGAGTTGCCGAGCAAGCGATCAAGGCTGATACCTCAGGGTGAACAGAAGTACGAAGAATGTAACGAATGACGAAAGACTGAGAATATCTGACTGTGAGAATATAAGATCATAATATTATGTAAATGCTAGATTGCGAGATCAAAGATCAAAAGAATGAAAGATTGAGAAGCTGGAGAGCTACTATGTGGCAGCTCCAGCTTCCTTTTAACTCAAGACTGGACTTGAACTCAACTAAGAATATGGAAAATTTAGTTATGACGCCAGCCCCTCCATCTCTAACTGTCAGAGCTTTCTCGGAAACCTTCTCAGTAAACCTTTCCCCAAGAACTTTCTTAAAATCTTCAATCACTTTTTCCTGAGAACCTTCTCCTTGAACCCTCTTCAAGGATGCCTGGCCATAACAAAAGGATAGCTTCAAAATCATTGATTGTCCAAGCATACAAGCACCGCGAGAGTTCATGGCATGAAACTTAGCACTTGTCAGTGGTGTCCCCTACGAACCTCCAGCTCTCACTGTAGAGTCTGCAGTGCCGAGATTGAATAACAAAATCCTCACTTCCACGATCTGTATCGTCTTCATCCCTAAGCACAACCCCCGATCACCATTATCATAAATCTAAATACCATCAGATCAGATGGTAGGGTCTGAGCTCTATACATCACCCGTCCTTGATCACGGATAAGTCATCCGATTCGACCATGATAGATTTTATTTTTATTTATTTATTTATCTTTATTTAACGTCTGGCGGATCACGCGTCAAGCGAGTAACCCTATTAAGTCCCTACTGAGACAAAAGACGCCAGGATTTAATTTCTGGGCTTCTACATGTTTTAAAGGAAAGCAAAAAAAACAAAATTAAACTATTTAACATATAAAGGAGGTGCATTCACATAGCTACTTCCCGCAGTTTATTAGGCTCTTATTTGTGGTGGTAAGATACTTGCTCGGCGCCATTCTCTGCGCAGGTCAACCCACACTCCCTGTTGACCTCCACTACCGGAAAAATAAATTAGAAAAAAAAGGAGTCTAAATTGCTTATCTTCCTTCCTTCGTTTGCTGGTTTTTCGCGACACTTGAAACCTCAAGATTGTGGGCAGATATCTGTGAAGAATCGGGTTTCCTGTAGCCATTTCCCAAATCTTTGACCTCCTTCATATGTGCCAAGAATGAATGGGATCATTTCCGAAGGCGGACCCTGCATTAGTCGTGATCTTCTCTTCGCTATATGACAGAAAAAGAAATGTAGTGGGGCCTTACGACGGCCACATCGGCAGTAATTTGATGCATTTTCATGATTGAACCGCTCGTGATAGTCAGCGAAGTCGCCGTGCCCAGATCTAGCTGCTAGAATTCGACCTAGAGTGGCGCGCGGAAGGGCAAGTTCTTTTGGCCTAGTGGGTGCTAATATTATTCCTAGCTTTTCGTAGCCTAGGTGCTGGGGAAGGAGATTTCTCCGGAGGTTGCGAGAGGCTTGCGTTGTTGACTATTTTGCCCAGCGCTTTAGCCCCGCATATGTGAAAGCGAGGTCATCTGGAGTTGGTCACTGGCAGCCATCTTTCGCTGCTTTGTCCGCAGCTTCATTTCCAACTATCGATGCGTGACTCGGAACCCATCGGACCCGGATTTGGCCCCGTCTAGTGTGGGCCAGCCGAGAGCGGTCTTGCCATTTGGGATTTAAGGTGAGGAACTCGTCAAATTGCGCTTGTGAGGACCCTGAAAAGGGGAATAACAGTCGAGTGGCAACTTCCAGATTATCTAGACAAATCCATAGATCTGTCGCGAATTTGGCAGTTGGGAGTGCTAGTGCGGACGTTGCCCCCTCTAGGGCACCTTTTACTTCCGCATCGAAAACTTCGACGCCTTTTCCAAGGGCAAGACTTTGATGCAAGACTTGTACGCCTCCTTGGTATCCGATGAAGCCAGCGCCACTCAAGCCGTTTAGTTGCTTAGAGCCATCTGAGTAGATAATGATGTCTCCGAAGGGGATGGTCGTAAGAAAGTCAAGGAAAGACTGTTTGT